TATATGTGTCCGTTAGCGCAATAACTCGAGCAAAAATGATCCGATTTTGATGAAATTTGGTACAAACGTGTAAACCTACGTTTATTCGAACGAGTTCGCAAACCAGCATGATCGGACCATGGGGCTGGGGGTTTATGGGGGCTTTTATGGGGTAAAAATGGGTTTTTCCCATTTTTGACCCAAAAAACATAAAATTTTGCAATTTCTTTCAAAACTATTTTGTAGAGCTTAAAAAAACAAATAATTTAGTATATTGAAGCGTTATAATGCGCCTAATGGTTACGGAGAAAATTCCAAAAAATTGTAAATTTAAAATTCCCATGTTATTCTTATGGAGAATAAGTAAACTCTTGTAGTTTGCTTGTTTATAAACATATTTTGCCCAAATTTGGAAAATGTTTTTATTTCTTACTAACTATTAACATTTTACATAAAACACACTTTTACCCTCCCTGTTGCAGCAAACCTAAGTATGTTTTAAACTGATTCTATTTAAATAGGGAATAAATGTGATATTTTTAAGGAGACATTTTAGTGTAAATCCATTCAGGGAAATGGAAATTCGCTTAGTCTGCAGGTTTGCTGCGGCGGGGGTATTTTATTGTTCTTCAGTAAGGAAAAAATAGTTGTTAAAATGTTGTGATTGGTAAAAGCTAGGCCCAGTGTTTTTGTAAATTTCAATTGATGACTGATAGATAATCAGCTGTTTTCAATCAGAAACTAAACTTGTAAAAGAATCACACAAATTCTGAACTAATGATTACTTAAAAGAAAACACACATCCAAGTTTTGATCGTTGTTAATCTATAATTCTCAGTAAAGCTAAAATATAATCGTATTACAACTACGCTCAACTCTAATGTATTCTAGCGTGGTTCTTATTGATCTCAAAACATGGTTTGCCAGTCCTTTCCGAATCTACTCTCCTTCAAATAAATTAAAATTTTTGGCTTAGTATATAGGCTATATCTCACAGAACTTAACCCATCTCATTCATCTATTCCACAATCTTAACTTCATTCACTTCGTCAATGTTTTGAATCAGCCAGAAACAGTCACACACAAACAGTTACACTTGACCCAAAATAAATATTTAAGTTTTATATAAAATACGCATCATATAGGATGAAGTCCACCTGCATTATGCAAAGTCCAAGTGTGAAATGAGAGGGAATTAACACAAGTTACCGGAAAACATATACTGTATACATTTACGTAGCTTAACCAGTTTACCAATGCATCAGCAAGGTATTTCAATTGAAAAGTCGTAAACGATGACTAGTTTTAAAATTGTTATTCCAACACTGTCTCGTCGCATCGCTCACTCCCCATAGACATTTGTATGAAACAGCCCTGGATAACAGTGAAATATTCGTTTTATGTTCATCACCGACCAGATGAAGAATTATTACCCCCAGGGGAGTTGTGCTGTACAATTGTGAGAGGGTTGGTGGGGGTGGGGGTGACAATTGGGCTCCCGTGCAGCCCCCGCTGCTCCATCGGGACTAGTTTGGAATTAAAACCATAAGCTGTGCTGCTCCAAAATGGAAATTACGTTTTCAAATTTTTACAGATGCTCAGCTTTGCGCGTGTTTGAAAATGTATGTTGATAATCGCAGAGTAAGTGTGTTTAAATATTGAAATTGATTGTTTATTGAAATTCACTTTTGTTATGCTAGTATAAGTTCGTCTTAAAGCCAGGACCTTATTTTAATTTATTAACTACTGCGTTAGAAGGGGGTGAATAAGGAACAAATAAAATTGAATGGATGATATTGCTACAACGAAGCTTTAAAAATATTGACAATTTCAATCGTAAAAATTAAAATTTTTGATTTAATACCAGAAGATAGTTTTACTAACAGTGATATAACAATTATCCACTTGAGTTCTCAACATATTCTTGTGTTGTCCAGCTGTCCGCATCCTACTGTGAAATATTTCCGATAAGTTTTCAAAATTTCCCTAGCAATTTTATCATTGATTCTGGAATAATACTTTGAATTTAATATGTTTGCACAAAACACGGCTCGACAAACCAGAACGGTGGAAAGAGATTCAATATTTAGTGTAAAACGCTGGTTGAAATAAGGTTTGGGGCTGTAATAATGTGGTTAAGGTTAGGTTTATTTATGCTGATCTTTGGATTCATTCTCTTTTACCGCACTCCAGGATGCGTTTACTGTCGTGTATCATAAATACTTACAAGTAAATAGATACATTTTCAACTAAATTTATTCAGATATCTTATGTTTTGGTCTTTATTATCATCTCAATACTGCCAAACTAAGGTTACTTATGATTTGCACATAGAAAATATAATTCATATAAATGATTATAATGCCAGGGAGTACTAAGTAACAGAATAAATTATAATTACTTTTTCCTAAAAAATCCTGTTTTATGAAAATGCAGAAATTACTGTCAACTTATGATTTACCTGCCTAAATGATTATAGTAACTAGATTCGTGTAAAAAATATGTGTTTCTTTTCAATACCCTTATTGAATAAAGTCAGAAAAATATAATAATAACACTAAGTCAAATTGTTGAATAAACGTTACTATTACTTTTTAAACCTTTAAATACGATTGAATCCGTTTTTAAAGATTAATACAAACCAATAATTAAATACATGCACGTGGTATTTTTAAAGTCAGTAATAGTAGTAGTGGGCCATAGTTCCAATCGAGAAAAGGTACATTTAAGGAGTGAAAGCTTTAATGATATATCAAGTAATAGGCCTATTATTATGTTTGTAAGTGTAAAAAATTATACACGGAAATTAATAAATTCTTTTAGCAGTGTACAAGAAAATAGCTAACAATTAATTTAAAGTATATGAATAGAGTTATGACAGTGTGGAAAAACAAAACCACTGATTTAAGGCAATAATTATTCGACGCACGCTAGCAAAGGCGACAGTCACGGAATAATAACAGAAGCAAATGATGGAAAGGATTGAAATGCTCGTTCGTTTAAACACGCGTATAATCTTCCATAAAACTAAACATTTGTCTACTTTGAATGCGATGGGATCCTATATAGTCATAATAATAAATATTATAATAGCGCTACATTGCACAACGACGATAATATTTATGTAAATAACAATAATGTACAGCGATATAATACATTAATTAGACATAAATTCATTTCACAATACATAATACTGTTCAAAAATAACTACAATAGAAGCAATAACTTAAACCTCACAGATAGCTACAATCATAGACTAAGCAACACATGATTTATCTATGCTACAATACAACACTCAACAGTTTCATTTAATACATTGTATATTCAATCCGTCAAAATATGATTGGCTATTTGTAAATGTAATAAAATCTTTAACAAATTTGTAACATTAGAAATACCAAACACATCTTACCTACTTTATATGTTGGTTACGTTTTAATTCAAGCGTGTTGTATTTTTACCAGACCGGGATGAAGAATTATGACTCCCAAATGAGTTAACAATTACACTCGCTCGGGAAAATTGGAAACCCAATTGGAAATATTTCACAGTAGAATGCGCTGTATCCTCAATAATATGCTGAAATCTCAGATGAGTGATTTTTATATGTTTGCATGTGATTGTTTACTGAAAGTTTACTTTTTGAGATATTTTTGCTGTGGTTACTGTTACTTATAAAATTATAGATGTTATTAAAGTTTTTAATATATTTTTTAAAATGCTTAAAAGTTAGTTGTGAATTACTTCTAAAACCTGGGCACTTTATTAAAGCATTCATTATTCTAGGAACTAAAAGGAATAAAAAATACGTTTATATATTTATAAACGTATTTTTTGTCCTTGCTTTTCTTTGGCTTAAAATTTAATTTACTCTCAATAAGACTTGCCATCACAGTTGATTAATCTAAACTTATTTATTTAATCTAGTATAAACTACAAAAATTCGGACATTATTTTATACATCTTCTCTCATCACAATATATATTTTACAACTCGCCTTTGGCTCGCTGGGGGCTCCGCCCCCAGGCCCCCTAGCTGTTAGTCGTAATTTAGGAAGGGGTAAGGGGCCATCACCAAGAAACCGGGGAAATTTCAAGTCCGTAGCACACCTAGAAGTGGTCTAGAAAGCATAAGCATTTCTAAATTCTTTGTGGGGTTGTTATAGTGAAAATCGATATTGAAGTAATAACCATTTCACGAATATATTAGAGTAGATTGATAAGTTGAGAATAGTAAAGTATTATATTAAGTAAATAGTTCATAGTAAATATTCATGTATATGTTTATGAAAATAGATGAAGTTTTTTTGTTTCCCTGTCAGTTAGCCACAAACTGTATGGCATATCCAGTTCCGCCACGGGGAGGCCAGGAAACGTAGGAACCATATTAATTTACAATGATTTAAATTAACAGTTATAGTATTTCAAGTAAAGATGGTTATAAATATTTATAAATTTATTAATGAAAATAGATCAAGTAATGTTTGTTTCCCTGTCGGTTAGCCATAAACTGCAAGGCATATCCAGTTCCGCCACGAGGAGGCCAGGAAACGTCGGAACCATATTTACAATTATTAACACATGTACAAGTCAGTAAAATTTTGTATAAGATAAGTAGATTGATAAGTGAATAAATTGATAATAGTAAAGTATTATATTAATTAAATAGATTATGGTAGATATTCATGTATATATTTATGAAAATAGATCAAGTAATGTTTGTTTCCCTGTCGGTTAGCCATAAACTTTATGGCATATCCAGTTCCGCCACGGGGAGGCCAGGAAACGCCGGAACCACAAACAGTAACACGAAACACACAAAAACACACAAAACACACAAAAACACACAAAAACACACACAAACACACACCAACACACAAAAACACACAGAACACACAGAACACACAAAATATCGGGGACTTTTTTAGGCAGACCCCCTATCGTACTGCCATAGATGTCAAATCACGACGGGGAGTTTTGGTAAAGCAGATCCCCTAGCCTACTGCAACGTCAAAATCGGTTCTAAAGAAGGAGTTCGTCAAATACGATATTCTTCGCATAGGCTATTCCTTCGCGGACTCTATCAGGTGGGACAAGAACAACGATGTCGTCAGGATGTCTGACCCTGCTAAGGAGGACGTATAATTGACCGTGTGTGAAACAGTCGCTCCGAAGATCGACTCCAACGCGATCGATCGTCTGGCCTTGGCTTTTGTGACCAGTCATACAATAAGCCAACATTAGAGGGAATTGAAGACGGCGGATGCGAAGCGGCGACCCTTCGACAAACGGAAACACAAATTGAATCCTAGGGATACAAATTGGATCAGTTTTGCCGGGAAGTCTAGCAGTAATCAAGCGAGGACTAATCGCCGTAACAATTACTTTTGTACCGTTCACAAGTCCGTTGTCGATATTCAAATTCCTCATAATGAGGCAAACGGAGCCGATCTTGATTCGCAGGACATGGTCTGGCACACCCTTGCCGGTGGCCTGGTTCAGCAAGTGTACATCGACGTCCATGCCGTCATCATTTTCCTTGTCCACAGTATCGGCGCTTCTCAACACATGTACGACCCCGCTTGAAGTATTAAGAACAATGTCATTAATATTTCGTACGTTAACGTTCATTGTTGAAAGAATAGCTCGTCTAGCCGTAAGTTCAGGGTCATTCAGGTCACAATCGGGGAAAACAAAAGCGATGAGATCAGACAGGGAAGTCACATATCTAATGCCAGACAGTGGTATCAAGCTGCAACTGTCTTTTCCCTCGCCAAACACAACAGTATTGATAGTTCCATTGCCTACTTCAAGCAAGAATTTGGAGTATGCATTGGAATTACTAGTCCTGTGAGGTGTAGAAAGAGAGAACACCTTGAAACTTGACCAAAGATGAGACGCACGGAGCGATACACAAGCGATATCAGCGGGCGTTCGAGCTCTGGCAACAACGGGCGCGATCTGGCGGAAATCTCCCGAGCAGATAAAGATCTTGTTACCGAATGGTTCACGTGAATTCATGAGATCCCGCAGAGATCTGTCGAGAATCTCAAAAATGTAGCGATGAGCCATCGGTGCCTCATCAAAAACTATGAGCTGTGCGGCTCTGATTAGTTCTGCCCGCTGAGACCCGTTGGTCAAGTTCCAATAGCCTGTACCGTCGCCGAGGTCAAGTGGCAGTCTGAACATGCTATGAGCTGTCGTACCACCTGGCATGTTGCCAGAGGCGATACCAGAGCTAGCAACAGCAATAGCAACGTGACTTTGGCTTCGAACGTAGGCGAGAAGCACGCTAATTAACAACGTTTTCCCGTAGCCACCTGGTCCGTCTAGGAAGATTAGTCTGTTTGTCCGGCGATCTCCTTGTAATAACGAACGAACGTGATTTAAGACTGCCCTCTGATCATTTGACAATTTTGGTTCCCACTCATCTACAAGTGATTTCTGTTGGTTCTCACCGTAGACGAGTAGTTCTCTGCCTAATTCCGTAGTATCATCTTCCACACTTGGGAGGCCATGGTCAGCCAAACAAGACCCCTGTCGACGGAGACTGCGATCAATTTCGAGCAGAGATAGTTTAAAGGCGAGCTCATGATCAAGAGGGTTGCGTTCCAAATGGTCCTCACAAAGCGTATTTCGGAAAGATTCCCACAAAAGAGCCGCAGGCGCCCCCATGTTGCAGAGTAGGACGAAAAATGATCGAAGTTTCGAACCAATCATGAATTGAGCAGCTTCCCTAATGGCAATGCCATACTCATCCTCTGCTTCAACCAAGCCGAGGTTTCGCGCTACCTGTTGGAAAGTACTACAACCATCACCTCCACGTGCAAGCAGATCAGCGTAACCACGGCATGGTAACATCATGAGCAGCAAACGAAGAAAATATTGCTCGCTTCTGTTTGGCGAAACCCAAAAAAGCCGGCAGATCTTGGTACCACGTTGTCGAGGTGTAATATAATGTTTGCCGTCGGGATGGTCGTATACTTCTGCACTACGTGGACGTTTAGAATGAACTATAAACTGCTCGAAGAATGATTGGTAGGTTAAATTATCAAAAATAGGGTGAAGAGGTCTGTTAAAGTACAATAGCAAATTAGAGCTAGCTTGTAGAGTCGCGTCACCCAAGTTTGTTGGACAGAATGTTACTGTTTGCTTTCCCTCAAGATGTACAGGAAGGCACTCTACTGTTGGCTCAGACTTAGAGATTGGAAAGTCTAAAAGCCGCCAGCATGCATCACTAGCACCCACCATCCGCTTTGTGACATAGTGCTGTACTTCATCTTCTTGCTGACCTAAGGGCGTAACAGTAACATTCTGCAGTGAACCACCCTTCATCAGGTACTTGAACAAATACTTAACAACTTTTCGAGTTGAAGCTAGCTCTAAATTGATATGAGCTTCATATTTCAGAAGTAGCGCAGAGTTATAAGGAACAACCCAGCCATCATGAACAGTGACAGACTTTCTCCTTGACGTAATAACTCCTTTGTTCTCATAACTGCGCTTGTATTGAACAAACCCCTTTTCATCAATATGAGTTGTTTCGCAAACAGGTTTTGGAAAAAATTTGGAACAGCAGCCTTTGTCTGAGTTCCAACAAGGGAAGTCAGTTCTGTATTCTGTACCACATGGCCCATGGATCATGTGTCTCAGAACTAACTCCCTTAGTCTGCCCCCAGCCTCCTCCTCCGAAGGGATGTCAGATCGAATGATTGAATCAATGTCAGCAGCCTGCACCGGTCCATCGCCGTCAATCTTAAATACAATGTGGGCGTGTGGAAGTCCTCGCATTTGCATTTCGATGACATGTACGATGTACACGGACCGGCCGAACATTGCTCCACTGCGGAGATCTCGGAGAAGTTCTAGGAGTTTAATGTAGAAAACTCTGCAAGCGGTACTGGGGTCGCTGCGGCCGCTGTTCCGGGGACATGCCTTCTTGTTTTCTTCCCACGTCGCACTATATGTAAATGTGAGGAAGAAAGTAGGAAAACCAAGACGAGAAACAAGAGCCATTGCGTTCAAGTAACGAAGCTTCATGTATCTTGGTCCCCCTGTAAATGAACTGGGAAGATAAACTTTACCCGGCTGTGCTCCACCCTCCCCTCGGATCGTTTCGTCATTGGCAATTTCGTTAAAAATCTGTCCCGTTGGCTGATTACTACTACGTCCAGCTGTCTCCAGTTCGTCCAATGGCCCTATCCGCATGGCATTTTCAGCTGACCTGGTTTGATTATATTTTATGAAATTCAACCTCTCCTCTTCGAATCTTGCGAACATCTCGACCTGCCAAGCTTGAGACAGTCGGCCGATGTGAGAAAAACGAGGATCAGATAACAAAAGGCAACGTGCGTAGTTATACTGAGATAACTTGTTATTGAAATTATCAAGGCGACCTATATGCCAGCCCAAAGTGCCATCCGGATAGAGCAATGGGTACTGGAAAGGTTCCATAAGGGGACTAAAAAGGTTTATAGAGGTTGGTTTAGGAGACCCAACTTTCCAAATTGTCAATTTCCGAGGTTCATGAACAGTCTCATCGGTACTGAGCACTGCATGTACCTCGACGCCTGTCTGCCCGTCACCTAAGACCGGACCGTGAGTGGCTCTGCTTGTGACTTCGAAGTCCAAGTGTGCATTGATAGCTGGTTCATTGCCCAAAAGACGATAGTTAACAATGAACGGGTTTTCACGAAAAAGAAATTCATAAATAGAGTCAACTATGTCAGCATCTAGGGATCTGCCAGAGGCAATATTTCTCCTCTCTTCACCGTCATCAATGTACAGTCGCGATCTATTTACAAACTGGACGACCCCAGCTTTAGTAGTAAACTTTTGCCCAGGAGCGTCCAGATTATAAATTTGATGGTACATCCTGCCTTCTATTTTGAAGAAGGAGAGACCACTAGGATGGCGGTAACCTCCTGATACCTCGAGAGCGCAAAAGGCAAAAATGTCGTTATAGGCTCGAGCTCTCTCAAGGAAACAACGATCGGAGTAGAAATCCTCTTGAAGTGCAGGTAAATTAAGAACATTGTAGGCTCCTTGACCACAACACCACTTATTTCGAGTTTTCTCTTCTTCAAATAACCGAGCACCACAGTGGGGACATTTGAAAACATCGTCACTCCAAAGGCTTGTTTTTGCTAATTTGTATGGTGTTATATGATTTAATAAGTCCCCCGTCCAACATCCCATCGGGCCGTGATTAAAGATATTCCTAGCAAGGGTTATATCTAAATGGCGAAGTTCAATCAGCTTAGGATTTCTGAGTCGGAAAATTTGGACTCTTTCGCGTGATGCTCCAGGATGGTTTTGGCTATAACGCCCTACAGCCGCCCTGTTAACCTCAGGGTGAGTTTGACTGTAGCGCCCTACAGCTTCCCTATTCACCTCAGGATGAGTTTGGCTGTAGCGCCCTACAGCCTCCCTATTGACTTCTGGATGAGTTTGGCTGTATATACGGACAGCCTCCCTATGAGAATCAGGGTGGGTTTCTCGGTGACGACGAGCATCGTCTAAATTTTTGTCCGGGTGATTATCCGTATATTTCTTCTTTGCGGCGGCAATTTGTTCGTCCTTAGTTGTGTTTAAAACTTTAGGACGCCCACGTTTCAATTTTTTTGGCCTTCCGGGTCCTTTTCGGGGAGTATCGAGATTGGGGAGGGATTTAAACTTCCTCAAAGGAGAAACCACTACAACTGGATTTAGGGTATTCAATTTTGGATCTTGGAGGAAATCAGGACTGGGGCACTGTGAAAGTGATTCGTTGATAGAATCGTTAAGAATTAGAAATTCAGGGCTAGGACAATGTGGGGTAGGAGTAAAATTCAAACTGGGGAGTGGTGTGATAACAGGGTTGAACACAAAGTCAAGCGAAGCGGATGCGACATGGCTATTGAATTTCAATTCTGTTATCGAATATTGACGTGTATTGGCTTCATACACTACATTACATAGCAGTAGGGACGCTAAAGATATGTAGCTATCACACGCAAAGAGTCGAGCCAAGTTGTTGCCCCTGATACTGATGTCATGCTGACGCTGTTCATTTACTGCATGTGGATCAAACAAAAAGTATTTATCTTGGCTGCGCCAAAAGCCAACAGTCACGTTCAACCCAGTAAATAAAAACCCGACATTCACAGTAGCTCCTACAAACAATAGCTCTAGCTCACAGGCGAGCTCTACGATGCTATCATCTAATAAATCACGAGTTACTGGGTACAAAGCATCATATACGTAAGACACATCAACATGGACTTCATTCCCAGCAACCGTAAACTCATGTGGAATTTCATCAGGGAACAAAAACCTATTGCCACCAACACAATCTTCACTACGCAATGACCTATACAAAGTATCGCCACTTATGAGTATGGAGTCAATTGCAGAAGTAGAGAATTCATTTCCAAGACACTTCCAAGCGATGGCACAGGCAGAGTTCGCCACACATTGGGCGTTTCTGCTGTAGGTAAACCTCGGATCACCTTGATTAAATGATCCACTAGCAACACATGTAAATGCCATATTTATACTTGAGTAAAGCAATAAATACAGCAATAAATTATACGTTAGGCTGAATAAATACGTAACCTACTCAGGATTAAGTTAACAAATGTCCCTGGGCCTATACGACAAAAACGAAAAACTTGTACTATACGGCACCAGCAACAAAACAGCTAAATATAAATGATGGAACTAAAACTACTCAACAAGTAAAACTACTCGATTATCACCTGACAAGAAATGAGACCACTAAATCTATAGATGATGGAATTAAAAGCCAGCTACTAAACAACTAAACCTACTAAATTATTAACTAAAAAGAAATAAGACTACTGGCTACTAATTTTAGTAGTAGTCAGTAAACCAAAGTATAAATAAGAACTAATAAAACGATAAAGCTATTCAAGTCACTAACAACAAGTTTTTCAACCAGTCAGTGAAAACTTCAAACTAGAAATTAATAACTAACGGACGAAAAAACTGACAAATTAAAACCACACAGTAGTCTCAAATGCTACATAAGAGCACTGGAGATTCAAATCCAGCAAAATTCAGCTAAACTTGAGAAAACAAACGAATTTTCGAAAGCAAAGGAAGGACCAGGCGGGAGTATGAACCGACAAGGAACGTAGCTGAGCAAGAAATGAGGCGTCGGCGTCGCGATGAAAGCTACCCCTTCTACTACCATGGAGGGGGTACTGACGTAGACACTTACCCCCTCTCCTCTGGGAATGGATACGCGACAATTTTGTTAAAAAACAGTGTATATAGTTCAATGTCAAAATTGTATCAGATCCTCGTTATCGAAATTATACCAGGCAAATAGACGAATTTCATATATAATTTTATTCATATATGTTACAACAACCTATAAATATGAAATCCAATGTTTGTCCTTTATGCATTACTATACGACCATCCGATCGTGATGAAACTTTATGATACAAAAAGCGTAGGTTTTGTTTTTGGTTTTCAAAAAGTCTCAATTATAGATTAACGTTATCCTTGGTTTTAATATAGCACATTGCAGAGTTAACTGGCTAATAAGTAAACTAACTGCGTGTATTGAGCACTGGCTTGGAAATATAGCGCTATTCAACTATATGAAAGTAAACGAAAATCTGCTGTGTAGCTTCCAATGCAATTCTTATGGAGGGAATTTTACATTTCATCTAATTTTATGTTTAAATGTTGGGAATTCTACTATTTTTCTCACCATCACCGGAAAGATACCTTCATTTTTTTAGCCCTCTCCCGTCGTTCTACGACATCCCAGTCACCTACAACTTTTATTCAAAGAAACGCCTTACGTAATTAATATATAGATAATGCTCTAATCGGCAAGGCACAATATTTATCTATCCGTAATACCACGAAAGAAAATATTCCTACAACAGGCGTAAAGCATATAAAACATTAAACATTGTCAGTAGTAGCTTACATACACTTATTTAGCTGTATAAATAAGATAAAATAATGGTATTTTAGTAAATTGAAGTCTGTGTTCAATCTACATGATTTTCCAATTTTAAATAACTGCCACAATTAACCTATTAGATTCTAGCTATTAACTTTCTAAAATTTTAAATAATTGAACACATTAAATTATGATCTGTGTATTTAATAGGTGAACATGAGTTTTGTTATAATTGTTTGTAAGCTGTCACGCATCCGATCACCACGTTTAAATTGTCGTTGGATAGGCCAAAGCACGCAGATTTGCCATTAAAACAAAACAATCTTTTTAAATTCCATTAGGGCCCTGTCCCAGTGGCTTCCAATGCTTGTTATCCTTATGGAGAAAACCTTTGTTTACATTTGGACAGGTGTACACTTCGAAATTAACAGCAATGTTTGAAACCGCTGTTTATATTAAAATTGTAACTAATGGAAAATGGGCTATAAAGATCTTAGATTAGTTGAAAACATGGAAAATACTCGATTTTTGTTATGTAAAAGTTGGTGTTTCACCGCATTTTTTTTTAGATTAAATGATTGCAAAAGTCAACATACACGATCATAGTTACACGATCTTTTGTATTTTTTTGGATCCTTGTTACACTGAAACCAAATAACTGGATATAACTAAAAGAGTTGAGGATATCAATGTCAAAGGAATAATTATTTCAACTGAGTTTAACTCATTGTACGAGGTTGGGCCTGCATTCTGCTGATGGTTATTTATGATTGATGGTCAAGAATAATGATCAGAAATAAATGTTTTATACCACTGAAAAGAATATTTTATCATACCGAAGACTGATGTTTAAGGGGAACTAAGAAGAGTACAAAACAATGACATTTTTTGAAAAATTAAATAATTAGTTAGGAAAAAGTATCAAAAGCCATTAGATAATAGAAATAAATTTACCATTTTTTTCAATAAGGGGTTTTGTTTAGGGGTGAAGGGGTGCGATTTTCGGAAAATGCCGAAGGGAGTTTTGTAGTACATTTAATTCCTGAGCAAAACATTCTTTCAAATATCCATTTTTGAGTTATAGCCATTACAAAAACGTGTTTTTTTTATATGTCAGGCATTTTGGATTTTTTGGTGGGGGGGGGGGGTATATTCTTATATCAAAAACCCTTTCGGGCTCCGCCCCAGTGGCTCTTTAGTTCCCCACACCTTACGAGTATTCATATTTAAAGAGAGTTAAAACATTTAGTAAGCTGTTTCAACTAAAAAGTGGGTTCTGTGATATGCAAAAGCATTAAAAGTAATTTGTATTTTGCGAAACTTTAATAATTTATTTTTCTCTACTGTTTAGGTGAAATGGTAGAACATTATGGCTATGGTAGATGTATAGTACTATAGTATACCGTCAATTTAAACAAGCAACATTTATCAAACTGTATCCTCCCCCATTGCAAACGCAATGCTTGAGTATAATTCCAATCCCGTACGAAGGACGGCTTCTCTGCTAGTTCTCCATAAGAATAAGATGGGGCTAGTAAAAGTGGTAAAACTTTTCAAATTTTGGCATTAAACCTAAGTTTTGGGGTCAAGGAGTAAAGTTACGAAAAAACATGCAAAGAGTAAAATTTTAAGTAAAGTGAGTAAAATACAAAGCATTAGTAATATTTGCCTAAAGAATTAGGCCTACTAAAGTAGAAAAACGTGGTGAAAAAAATTAAAAGAAATTTTAAAAATGTAGGTCGTTTTTGGAAGGTGAAGGAGTGCAATTTTCGAAAAACGCATGATAGTGTTTCGTAGAATATTTAATTTCTGGTCATGGAAAATCTTTCAAATCTTTTCCAACTCTAACTGTTTTAGAGCTATAGCTGTTTGTACAAAACAGTGTTTTTTGGTATTTAGGTATCCACCATTTTAAATTATGAGGAAGGGTTAAAATGAAAAAATTATTTTTGAAAGTTTCACCATAAATTCAAGATCCCATTCCACAAAACTAACAAATGTCATGTCTCTATAACATTCCTAAACGAATCAGATGAGCATTACAAAGTCTTTAAATTTCATAGTTATTCCCCATAAAAATAACATGGGCCTCGTAAAAGTGGTAAAACACTTTCAAATTTCGACATTAAACTTAAGTTTTCGGGGTCAAGGAGTTAAGTTGCCAAAAAAGCTGTAATGAGTACAATTTAAAGTAAGCTAAGTTAAATATAAAGCATTAATAACATTTGCAAAAGAAATTACCTAGGTAGGAAAAAATAGCGAAAACTGATGA